CCCCAACTTTCTGCCTTGGAGAGCCGCTGTGACCACTCAATTGCAGGACAGGCTGCCAAGCACACGGTCTTCATCGCCCGCGTCTGCGCGTCCTGGCGCCCACCACTGAAGCCCGGAGAAGAAGGACCATCCCACGGCCAAGCGAGGACCATAGAGGGCTCATTGTCCCTGCGTATCCATGGTTTTCCTGGAGGCTCCAGCACTGTTTAACAACACATCCCGCCCCGCCAAGAAGGGGATTTGGCTACTCCGAGACCTCAAGGTACAAAACAAAAATGTGCAACAAGATTCTTTTTGACTATGTAGGTCAGGGCAAAGAAAACAAGCTGTCAGGAACAATCCCCTGGGCTGGCGGGGGGGACGGATTAGCCGGGACCTAAGAGGGCTTTTCCAGCCTGCGGTCCCGCGCGGCTTTGTATGGAGGGTCCATTGTGTTAACTACAAACCCGAGTTGAACATCGTCGGCAGGAGTTTTTTCCAAAGGGCACCTTCAAGAGACAACCTTAAATATGATTTCACAGGCTCTTTTCATACAGCATAGCGGGGCCAAAACTCTTCTATCTGGTTTGCCGGCTGCTGAGGGAAGCTGCATGGTTGTACAGCCTAAATCGGATCCCCCGCAACACACCAAAGACCTCTTGCTGGTGGCCCCGGGGGTGCTGAACGTGCCTCCGGCAAACCACGAACAAAGCAGCACGAGTTATTGCCACAGAAAGTGCACGGCCAGACCGTTGAGGGGCCAGGTAGCCATTCATGGGGAGTGGAAATGAAGCCCCAGGAGAAAGGGACAAAAGAAGAACCAAAATAAAAAGGTGATGATTAGAAGTGGGTTAGGAAAAGATGATACAATAAAAAGCATCGGGAGGTGTTATAAACAGGAGGCTTGGGGAGACAGCAGAGGCTCAAGGAACCGTGCAGGAGCTCGGAGGATGGGTAAGGAAAGGGCTTGGAGAAAGGTCCCACGCATGTCTCTGAAAGAGCATGGCCAATCCGGCATGGGGAGATTTTTAAGTAAAAGTTGGATGAACGGCCATCTAGGGCAGCTCAGCCCTTGCTCTCCAGCTTGGGAGCCCAAGCCAACGCCTGCCATTCCCACCAGGGCCAGCTGATGAGCGGCTGGGACGGCACACGGTCCTTGGCCCGGCAGCCATCCCCGTCCCACAGCTTTGCTTCAGCTCTACTCCAACTCAGTTCAACGCAGCTGGGTTGAAGCAATGCAGCTCTCCTGCACAAGGCTGCCAGGGTGCTGGGCTTTGCCAGCCTTGAAGGTGCACCACCACACCTTCCATTGCGCGGGCATCAGCATGAAGGGATGGTCAGGGTAAGTTATTTTATGGACCTGTTTTAACGTGGACCTGTTGGAGCAGATCCAGAGTGGGCCATGAAAATGGCCCGAGGGCTGGAACAGCTCTGCTATGAGGAAAGGCTGAGAGAGTTGGGGTTGTTCAGCCTGAAGAGAAGGCTCCGGGGAGACCTTCTTGCAGCCTTTCAATACTTAAAGGGGGCTTATAAGAAAGACAGAGAGAGACTTTTTACTTGTCCTGTAGTGACAGGACAAGAGGCAATAGTTTTAAACTGAAAGCGGGTAGATTTAGATTGGACATAAGGAAGAAACGTTTTACTGTGAGGGTGGTGAGGCACTGGCACAGGTTGCCCAGAGAAGTTGTGGACGCCCCATCAATGGAAGTGTTCAAGGTCAGGTTGGACGGGGCTTTGAGCAACCTGATCTAGTGAAAGACGTCCCTGCCCATGGCAGGGGGGGGGGGTAGGTGGAGGTTAA